GAGATAAGTAGTTTAGATTCTTATAACATCTAGGCCTCCAGTAGTTTGAAAATTATTATTATTACAAAAAAAAAAAACAACACAAACCTGCCCCTTGGAAAGGCTGTGTCATGGGCATATTGGATACCCATGGGTTACTAGTTGCAGCTAGATAAATAGGAAAAAAAGAAGAGCCATGTTTCTTATAGTAATAAATACTAAATCACTATATGATGTTAATTACTATATTAATTTTTATTCACTTCTTTAAAGTAAACGGATCCTAAATGAAACAATTCAGCTCTTACACCAGTTAATGCTTTGTTCAGAGGTTATGGTGCATGTACTTAAGGCACACCTATCATTGTTGCAGTCATTAATACTAAGTTGTTGGTATTAAAAATCGATGCAACATAAACCTCCATAAACTTGAGGTGCACCTCGACCACCATATCGAGCTAGATAAATGGGGGAAAAAAATATAAGATCTATGATTGTTGCAGTTATTAATACTAAGGTGTTAGTATTATAAATTGATGCCACACAAAGCTCCATGAACTTGAGGTGCATCTTGACCACCATATAGAGCTAGATAAATGGGAAAAAAAAATATAAGAGCTATGATTGTTGCAGCTATTAATACTAAGTTGTGTTATTATAAATTGATGTAACACCAACCTCCATCTATTGGAGGCACTCCTCCACCACCAAAAGGACCTAGTTATATGGGGAAATAAAAATATGAGCAATGATTGATGTAGTTATTAATGCTAAGTTGCACTGTCACTGATTTACATGTGATCATGAGTCAAGGAAAATACCAGTCAGAACCTTGAAATCTCAGAGGAACAAGAGTAGAGGGGATAGAAAAATTGTCCACACATGTGTTTTCTTATGTATATCATAGTGTTTGATCAAAATGCTAGACTACAATGTGTTCCAATGAGTTTGTGCTCTTTCATTTACTATAAAAATTCAAGGGATGAGCTCTGCAAGTGATCTTCAACAAACAATGAACATTGGAAATCAGTTATCTTGGAGTTTGTCACGTTTTCCAAGTCGAGCATTTTTAACGCAGGGAGAATTACCGATACATTTTGACAAAATAGCCCAGACTATTTAATCCAAGACGCGCCGAAGTGGATGGAAAGACAACTTCAAAGCCTTATGTGCCTTATGGCACAAAGAGATAAAGAGATAGAGTATCTGAGACTGCTCATCAACTCGAATATACAAGCACTGTTTTTACCTCCTTCTCGACGTGTTTCCATGAAGTTAAAATTGAACTCGTTTCCTTCGACTTTGTAAAAAATGGTCGCAAGGAAAGCTTAGATACACTATATGATGAAAGGCTGATAGTTTCGAAAGAAACTGTTTGGGGCTGCGTCGGTGGGAGTAACGAAATAATTTGGATATATCAACAAAGTTGAAATGGTAAATTGGCCACCGTAATGATTAGAAAAGCTTATGATGGCATAGACCATGCTTAACAATTCAGCCCTATCAACCGCTGACCAATTGAGCCTTTTTCTATCTCATGTGTTTAACAACTATTCTCCGAAGTGGAGGTGGTTGGTGGATATTTAATTACCGAGCTGCGAAGCGGCGAGGTAAATATCCACCGCTAACCACCGACACTGAGGTGAATAGTTGTTTTAGTATATACTAAAACAGTGAGATAATATACACCACCGTCGTTAATTTGAGTGATTTCTTCCCTTGTCACGGATGCAAACCGGGACGCCATTTTTTCCCGAGTTGCTCGGAGGTAACTAGCAAAGGATATTCGGAGTTTGACTAGCCAATCAGAGCGCGCCTTCAACGCTATCCACTGTTTTAGTATATACTAAATACTGTTATCCTACATATGCTTGTATTCTTCTCATGTATCTTTGTATTCTTCTCACGTATTCCCATGCATTCCAACGTATTCCCACGTATTCCCATGTATTCTTATGTATTCCCATGTAATCTCAGGTATTCCCATGTATTCCCATGTATTCCCACGTATTACCATGTTATTTCCATGTATTCCCATGTATTCCCATGTTATTCCCATGTATTCCCACGTATTCTCATGTATTCCCATGTATTCCCATGTATTCTTATGTATTCCCATGTATTCCCATGTATTTCCATGTTATCCCCATGTATTCCCACGTATTCCCATGTATTCCCATGTATTCTTATGCATTCCCATGTATTCCCATGTATTCCCTTGTATTCCCATGTATTCCTATATATTCCCACATATTCCCATGTATTCATATGTATTCCCATGTATTCCTATGTGTTCCCATGTATTCCCATGCATTCTTATGTATTGCTATGTATTCCCATGTATTTTCATGTTTTCCTATGTATTCCCATGTATTCCTATGTACTCCCATGTATTCCTATGTATTCCCATGTATTCCCGTGTATTCCCATTTATTCCCATTTATTCCCGTGTATTTCCAGGTATTCCCATGTATTCCCACGTATTCCCATGTATTCCCATGTATTCCCATGTATTCTTATGTATTCCCATGTATTCCCATGTAGTCTTATGTATTTCCATGTATTCCCATGTATTCCCATGTATTTCCATGCTATTCCCATGTATTCCCACGTATTCCCATGTTTTCCCATGTATTCTTATGCATTCCCATGTATTCCCATGTATTCCCATGTATTCCCATGTATTCCCACGTATTACCATGTTATTTCCATGTATTCCCATGTATTCCCATGTATTTCCATGTTATTCCCATGTATTCCCATTTATTCCCGTGTATTTCCAGGTATTCCCATGTATTCATATGTATTCCCATGTATTCCTATGTGTTCCCATGTATTCCCATGCATTCTTATGTATTGCTATGTATTCCCATGTATTTCCATGTTATTCCCATGTAGTCCCACGTATTCCCATGTATTCCCATGTATTCCCACGTATTCTTATGTATTCCCGTGTATTCCCATGTATTTCCATGTTATTCCCATGTATTCCTATCTATTCCCATGTATTCTTATGCATTCCCATGTATTCCCATGTATTCCCTTGTATTCCCATGTATTCCCATGTATTCCCTTGTATTCCCATGTATTCCCATGTACTCCCGTGTATTCACGTGTTCCCATTTATTCCCATGTATCCTTATGTATTCCTATGCATTCTCATGTATTCTTATGTATTCCCATGTATTCCCATTTATTCCCATGTATCCTTATGTATTTCTATGCATTCTCACGTATTCCCATGTATTCCAACGTATTTCCACGTATTCCCACGTATTCCCATGTATTCCCATGTATTCCCATGTATTCCCATGTATTCCCGTGTATTGCCATGTATTCCCACATATTACCATGTTATTTCCATGTATTCCCATGTATTCCCATGTATTCCCATGCATTTCCAGGTTATTCCCATGTAACGTTCTATGGATGCCAAAATCAGAATCAGATACGATGAATATATGAAGCTGATATATTTTGAACTGCGGTTATAGATACGTATGATGCACGATCCTCGCAGTAGAGAGCGTATCATCGTATCTGATTTATCATCACGGGTTTATTACGAATCAACATAACGGCCTGCTCCCAGTTGGCGTGTTAGCTCAATTGGTAGAGCACTGCACTAGTGTCGCAGAAGTCAGTGGTTCGAATCCCGTACAGGCCTGATTTTTTTCAGGTCTGATTTTCGCTATTGCATAAATAGCGCTCTCTACTGCGAGGATCGTGCATCATACGTATCTATAACCGCAGTTCAAAATATATGAGCTTCATATATTCATCGTATCTAATTCTGATTTTGGCATCCATAGAACCATGGTAACACCATCCCCAGAAGAAATAGATGGTAATATGCAGATGTTTCTGGCAAAATGGGAAAGGCATCTATCTTATCTTTCCTTAGATGCATTGCAAAACATCCGTAGACATATCATCAAGGGATGTTGCTCTGGAATTCCTCCAGGCGGAGGAACAAATCTAAATGAACGTCTACACAAATCTTTAAAAACTTCGCTCCTTTGTGGAGCAACTACAATTTCACCAGAGCTTGCAGTTGCAGTTCTAACTGTTGTATTTTATGCTTGGAATTTTAAAAGAGATCCTGATGCAAAAAAGCACTGTTCGAATGCAAGAATATTTCCAGTTACACCAATTGAGCTTCATTCTGAAGAAGAGATCAATAATGACATGTTCCAAGTTGAAAGAAGATCTAAAACTGCTGGCTATAAACCAGATGTACCTATTACAATGAACATCCCACAAGCACCTGATATTGGCATCAAAACATCATCTTTTGAGAGTAATTTATTACAAGTCAACAACATAGACGATCTGAAAAATGACAGTGTGATAACTTTGTTGTTAACAGAGCTCTATATTTGCTAGAAGTTCTAACAAGTGTTGACAAGAAATGTGTATCTAGAGATGTCAACACTGCTGACTTTCCTTTTTCAGATTTAAAACGAATGTTAGTAAAAATGCATCCACAACAATGTGAAAATATTGCTTTACAAATGGATTTAGATAAAGAATGTCTACAGAGAAATTTGTCATCATTTTCTTTGGAGATCGACAACATTGCAGGTGATGGTAACTGTTGTTTTGCCAGTATAATTACAGAAGTGAGCAAGAGCATGGCTGGTAACGGCACTAACAATGAAACATTTAAACAACATATAACATCTCTTGGATTAGGAAAAGGTATCCAACAAGATACTGAATTGTTGAGGCAGTTATTCTGTACGGAAATAAGAGAAAACCTCCAGAAATATCAGTCATGGGTTGACTTCAACGTTGAGGAAGAATTGCTTAAATTCTCCCAAACTGGATGGTTTGATAGCTCACTTGGCGATCTCTGTGTTTTTGCATGTTGTAACATGTTAAAAATGCCCATTGTTGTGATAACATCTCTTCCTACCACACCATGCATACCTTTCATCCTTAATGATGTATTAAAGGCAGAACCAATCTACATAGCTTTTAAGCACTCTTATCCTGGTCACTATGATGCGACAAAGGGTGGGTAATTTCTATTATCATTGCATGTCAATTTTCATTAGTCACATAGTGACATACTGTCATCCCAATTTTAGCTGCTTCTGAGGTAAAATCTATGTCAAGCATTTAATTTGTTGGCAAAAACATCTGACATATTGAGACTCAAACTCTCTAGTTCCACTAAGGCACTACCAATAAAATCCTTTGATTCTTTAAATTCTGGTTGTTGTTGAAAAGCATGTGTTGAGATTCCAGTTCTGGAAATGACTCTAGTAAATTTGACTATAACTCACAAGCATAGCATATGTTTTGCCAGGAATTAAAAAAAAAAACTTTAGTTGTTTTTGTGAATAAATGAATAAAAGTGTATGCTTCAGCCTAATGTTGATTGTTACCATGGATGTCGGTAGAAAATGTCACAAGCATTTCAACATGTAATAAAATGTGAATATCATTTTCCCTCTATTAGAAATCAAACCCTGTAAAGAAGATGTGAGGATGAATAAAGGGTGCAACTGTGATCTGATGTCCAAACAGCGTGGGAAAGAGGTGACAAGTTCCTGTGAAAACAGCCGGTGAGAGAATTTAAAAGTGTTGAATTTTGCTGAATGTAACTGCCTCTTAACTCTTACTGTCATATTTGCGCATAGCTCTAAATGCAAAACTATGGGCATACAAGTACTGCTTATTTCATTGGGTTAGTCATTTTCCTCTAATGCCAAATTGATACCATACAAAAAGTTAGCCTCCTGCTTAAGTGTGTCTGTAGCATGAATACTTACTTTATCTGAGATTTCTATTACATTTGACAAAAAAGTCGTATTAGGTTTGAGAACTTTATTACAATTGATACAATGTTGTAACTCTCACTGTTTATTATCTATGTTTTTTTCATTAGGTCCATGTCTGTCAAAATGGGCGTTGACTGCTCGAGATTTTGCAGCTGTCTACAGTGTAAAAATTTTACAGAGCAATATAGGCAGAGTCAGTCCCGTTAAAAGGATGCAAATGTGGGATTAATTCAAAGAGAAAAGAAACTGAACATATGTCTTGTGTTGACAAAGCTATTCATAAGTCAAAATGCCCATGCTTAAGATTTCATCGAGGCTGCACAGTTTTGTGCCATTGTTATCGCTGCAACAATCAATATGGGTGTCATAATGCACAAGACACTGTCAGCAAACCGAAAAAGACCAGAAAACGATCGAAACATCATGATTTTAAACGCCTGAATAGCAAAGATTACCTTTTGGAGAATGGATTTGAAATCAAAGCAGGACCATGGACCTCTCTTGAGACTCTAACTCTCTTGGTTGTGATTGAAGTTCTTCAACAATGCCAAGTATCCTTATTGAACTCTAAAAAAGTATTTCAGCTGTACAATTTTGTTGCAAGTTCTAGGAAAGCTGAAGAAATGGCATTCCCAATTTCATTTAAAACATATACCAAAATTTCTGGAAAACTGGCATTTCTTAACTCCAAGCATTCTGTGTTCCAGTCACTTATGGATTCAAGCAATGCAGGTCATGCTTGATTTTACTTCTTTTGTAAAACTATTTTCAAGGTTTCTTAATGTCAGTGTTTTCTGCTGACTTTGTTCTTTTTAATACACAGACTAGAACTTTGAACTCTTTGAACTCTTTCATCTACTTTTTATTAACAGACAAGGCGTTATTTTGTACACAAATAATCTACGTTTGACCTCCTACAAGTCCAACCCTACGTCCTCGTCGTGGGAGGTGGAAACGGGTAGTGCCGGCTAAGAGGGCTCTGGTGAAGCTTGGTAGGCCAATCACCTGCCAAGTGGATATGCTACGATTACAGAAACATCGACAAACAGAAACACGTTTACAGACATCTTGGCAGGAGAAGGCCCTTCCGGGAGAATGACACGGCAGAGGCAAAGCCAGAAGGACCCTCAGCGGCTGACTAACCTTTTTTCTCCAAGACACACCATCAGAATCGGTACGTGGAATGTTAGGTCCATGTACCAAACCGGAACGAAAGAGGGGCCGCCCCAAGAATACCTGGAGGAGGGATACGGAAAAAGAGATGAAGGTCCTCGGGAAGAACTGGAAGGAGCTGCAACAGCTGGCAGAAAAGAGGCGTCAGTGGCGGCAGTTTGTCGATGGCCCATGCTCCAACCTGAAGCCAGGGGCTTAACTAACTAACTAACTAATCTACGTTTGCCAAATTATCTGTGCCATTCATATCAAATGTTGGAAAAATCATCAAAGTGGATGTTTCTTTAATTTCTGCAGGGGCCTGATGTTCATTAGCATATACTGCATTAAAGGGACTAATTCCAATAACATATTGCTCAAAGCTTGAAAAAATGTTGCCTCTGTAAAATATAGTCTATGAGACAATCTAAAAGCTATTTTCTAGTTCTATTTCTTGGTAAAAATGACTGGCTTAGACATTTTCGCAATATATGTCAGTATCTGTTTTTACTTGTTTTTACTTGCATAAATTAAAATTGATGATAAGGCCTAGGCATTTATAGACTATGCTAGTAAAAGTGGCATATTATGCTAGTAGCATTGGTTTTTTTTTGGCCAAATTATGCTAACATTATGCTCTTTTTTCCAAATTATGCCACCGTTTTTTTAAATTATGCTCTTTGAAAAAATGCAAATAAGTCCAAAACATATATTTTTTAACTAGAAGCCGTTCGTCTACAGGAAAGAAACGCAACAAATCCACAATGAATTTCAAATAAACATGTGGTTCAGGTTAGACCCGGGCTCAGTGCTTCACAGTGAACTACAAATGCTACTAGTTTAACTAAAACTTTAAATATCGATTAAGGTCACCAAGTGCTTGGGACTAGAGACAAAAAATTATCAAATAATGGCATCAAAAATGATCTGATAATTATCAAAATGCGCAAATTATGCTAGCATTGTTACTTGGCAGAAATTAGGCCAGTTTGCTCGAATTATGCCTAAAATTATGCTAGCATAATCTATAAATGCCTAATAAGGCCTCCTTGTTAAAAACAATTTAAAAAGCCAGATATAAAAGCGTAAGGAATCTCGCGCGTATGACCACTGGAAGCCCAATCAATTCAGGAAGTTCTCTTATATTCGGGAGGGCGACGTGGGGGCTGGGCCGGTATATTTGGTATGTTTCCAGTGTGAACTTAAACATGGTCAAACGGAACAAACTTAGCGGACAGTTTATCAGTTGATGTACTTTGCACGCGTTAATTGAACCAAATAAGGAAGGGATCATGTGAACTAGGCTTGGTATATCGTACGATAGTTATATTACTGTAAGCTGTGCATGTGATAGGTTATAGTACCGTATTGTGTAAGACAGCAGAAAAAACTGAAGTGCACGTACACTGTAAC